AACAGTGGTTGGTTACCACCAGCCCCTCTCACGCTCTCCTCTCTCTCTCTCTCTCCCCCCCTCTCTCTCTCTCCCTCTCTCTCTCTGTCCCCCCTTCCTCCGGTTCTTTTTTGTATTTAAGTTCGATTACCCTCCCCATCATTCTCCTCCTCCTAACCCTCCCTTGTCATCGTTCTCCAACCCCCCCCGTCATTGTCCTCCCCCTCCCTCCTTCATCATAGGTCCCTTCTCCCTTCTCCCTTCTCCCTTCTCCTTCCTCCCTCCTCCCTCCTCCCTTGTCCCTTCCCACTCCTCCTTCGTCATCGTTATCTTCCTCTTCGTCGCTCCTTTGTCATACTTCCCTCCTCGTTCGTCATACCACTCCTCCATCATCGTTCTTCTCGTTTCCCCTCCCTCGTTCTTTTTTCAAACCCGATTTCCCTCTTCTTCATTCTCCTCCACTTCCTTTGAATAAAAAAAGGGCCTCCAACGTAGTGAACATGGCCTCCTTCGTAAGCGCTCTCCTGCCCCTCCCTCCCTCCTCCCGCCTCCCTCGTCACCTCCCTCATCATACTTCTTCACCCTCCTCCTTTGTCTTACGTCTCCTTCGTCATACCTCTCTCCCTACCTCGCTCCTCTTAAGAAAGTCCTGCACCCTTAGATCCCTCCTAAAAAAAAAAAAAATCCTGCGCGCACCATGCGCACTGATGCACGCACGTCACGCACCTACCTGCACACCGGCGCGGCGCGCATCTCAGAGCCGCGCAGCGCATCGCGCATTGCGCACGTCTGTGCGCGCGGCAGGCAGGCGCACAGCGCAGCATGCACCGCAGCACATCGCGCAGCGCAGCAGTGCACCGCAACTATGGTCACACTTGTAACCGTTGATAAAGAGATCAGGAGTTTGAATCCTGATGGCATCAGATCAGAATAGTAATAATAATAATAATAATAATAATAATAATAATAATAACAATAATAATAATAATATAATATAATAATAACAATGTAATAATAATAATAATAATAATAATAATAATAATAATAATAAA